CGATGAAAAAAGGCGTAGTCATTTTAAAAAAGGCGTGGTCATTTTCGGGCTGTTCGCCCCGGATAGAGATTTTGGCACACATCCCAAGTTGTTCCTTGGGGTCATATTAGCCTATAACAATTGAGATATCCTCTCCTAAATTATGTGCATACATATCTTAGCCAGGTCCTGGACTAAATATGCTATTCAGTTTGAATAGCGTTTTATTGAAATCACTTAGTCAGTAATAATTAATATATGTTGTTGAAATTATTCTATCGCGTTCTTGTCTTATTTGTTAAGAACTTAAGAAGTCTAACTAGAAGCCAGTTATGGTTTCGTGCAACCACCACCATAGTCCTATGTTGTTGACAATATCGCAACTGTTACCACAATAACTTCATGCAAGAGTTTTCGTTGATAAACAGTGTTACAGACACATTAGTGGGTGAAGATAATTGTAAGTATTTATTAATTATTACTGTATGATTTTATCAATCTTTTTGACATGAGTCTGTGTTGGTTAATTTTTGGAAGCCGTTCTAGTTTAGTAGTGTAGTGTTGTATTCGTCTGATAGTGTATTATCCCAAAGCTGTACTGTTCGATGTTAAATGGTGTTGTAAGGGCATGTTAGTGTCGCAGTACGTGAAATTCTGAATATAGACATTGTGCTCAATATATATGTATGTGTGTGTGTGCGTGCGTGCGTGCGTGCGTGCGTGCGTGCGTGCGTGCGCGTGCGTGCGTGCGTGCGTGCGCGCATGTGTGTGAAGCACCATGTATGCACTGCATGTAATCATGTAAAATGTACTATTTTACACTTCAAGTTTAATGCATATAATTTCAAACTGTTATCAGGACCTCTGAAGCTGCTCATTGAATAGCATACATGATTGAGGAAAGTGACACCCATAAGTGTAAGCTATTGCTCTAACATTTTCGGTGAGTAGATTTTTATTGATGTCAGATTCGTGCAATTTAAATTAAGTATGTTGCCTCGACTATGTTTTGTTGCTCTTATTGTTATATTGTTGCCCCAGTATTATAGGTGCTACGCTGAACCTAGATATACTATGGTCTACTACCAAATATTTGTCCGGCGGGCCGGGGGGGCACTCGCTTCGGAACTGGGTTGGGGTGCCTCGGGGACCTTGAAAACCTGACCCTGTTGCAAATCGCTTTGCGCCCTAAAATACACCCTGTCTCAATATACTGCACTAAAAAGTATACCCTGTTGCAATATTGCACATTTTGGTTATGTCCTGTCCTGTCAATATAGGCAGATATTGGTCCAATATCGGCCTGGTGATATTGGTCCAATATCGGCCTGGTGATATTGGCCCAATATTGTTTTGCCAATATTTGACCGATATTGGACCAATATCTGCCTATATTGGTCCAATATTGGCCTGGCGATATTGGCCCAATATTGTTTTGCCAATGTTGGTCCAATATCAGCTTGATGGGTGTGTATCTAGATAACCCTGTGTCAATAATGATGTTCGGAAAATATACCCTGTGCCAATAATGATGTTCGGAAAATATACCCTGTCCAGCGGCACGTCCCCAGTACCTTTAACAATGGGAGTGCCCCTTCCCCCCGGATATTTGTATAATTTCTTTTAGGTCGAGTAACTAATGACTTTCACAAAATGATGCTTGTTACGCTAGTGGGGGTGGTAAAGTGGTGCATGCCAAAGTGGCAGCGTTCTGTCTCTAGATAACAATTAAACTTGAGTGATGTTTTCCTTATACACAATAACCTTCCTGTGAAGCAGGTTCCAGGTTTGCGCCACCCAATTTAGACTGTTATCTCACCTGTGACTTGTCAGTCGAAGCAAGTAAACCAGAATTTTTTTTTTAATTATGAATCTCGACCTTTCTTGGCAATGATAAAACAAGTCACTTTCACTTTATAGGATAAAACCCCACTGCACATGATATGTTCCCAATTGCTCATTTAATGTTCAGCTACACGTAAACGTAAAGACTTCACAAACATTGGATGACACATACATAGGTGTGCTACGAGGTACTGTATCCCCACATTTAATGTTTAGGTAACCAATGGTATTGCAATACTGGAACGCTGTTCAAATAGCAAAGAACTGGTGTTTTGCCCTGTGATGATATCATGCCTGATTAAATTGTGAGTGTAGATCAAAGTACACCGGTAGAGTCTTTACCCAGACTGAGGTGTGCTTACAGTTGCTTTTATTCTTCAGTGTAATGTGTTATTTCTGATATCATTCAACAGTGCTACTTCTTCAATCTATGTGCTGATTCCCGTTTTAGGTAATGCGAATCGGATCAGCGATACGTGAGCGTTGACCATACTCTTCAATTTCCAATGGATACCATTGAAATGATGAATGACAGTCAGTCTGGTGAGTCTTAATTTTCCTGTTGATTTCACCGTTTTTCACATTTTAATGTATTGAATGTAATTAACAGTTATCAAAAACGAAATATGCGTTTAGCGGTGTTAAATACTAGAGACTGTATAATAATTAGAGGATATGTAATAATTCATTGATAGTGCGTGCAGCGTGGTCGTTTATTTGAATTTATTCCCGAGTGTCAGTGTAATGCGTAGTAATTTAGTGCATGGATCTCGTGATGCAATGTGCCTGGCAATGAGCCTGGCATCTTCCATAACAACAACCAAATCTGTCTAGGATCGTGTGTGTCATTGTATAGATGCCGTGTAATTGTTTTTGTATAGCCTTTACAGGCCCGTAGCCAGCTTTATATTGGGAGGTGTTCGTTTTTCAATGTTGGCAATTTGCTCGGCAGGGGCGTGTACAGGATTTGTACCAGGGGGGTATAGGCGCGGGAAGGATTTAACTAATGTGGCCCATGATGTCTCCTCTTAGGTTGAGTCAGGGTTGTTAGCTTACATTATGTTATTTATTTTGTAGACATCATATATATCAGTACATCATATATATCTTTATGGTTCCTATAGGGTTAGACTACATGTTTGGGAAGAGACAACGAATTTTATAAGGAGAGTCACAATGCATGAGGTGTTGATGTTGTACTTTGTTTCCAAGAAATGTGTGCTAAGGTAGTCGCATGGATTGACAGCACATTCCTAATAGAATTTTTTTTTTGCCACAGCCACCTAAGTGTGAGCTGTTACAGGAGTGGGTGGATTGGGTGTGTGACTGCTCACACCCAGAGCAGAGTATCACCTGCCGCATGCAAGTCGCCAGACTGCTGGTCAACTGGACGGTGTTGCTATTGTTGGACCCACACCATGTATTAGGTTTGCAAATTTATGCTTATAATATAATATTTTTATAGCACGCCATTGCACATTGTTAGATTTGCTTGAATAATGTCATATCTATGGTTGGTTACATACATGATTAAAACCACATGTGAGGTTTTGCTGTAATGTTATATAGCTTTTATACATAAATTATGTTGTGGGAAATATTACGTATACTGAGGCTATCCCATTCACAGACGGCTCATTTTCGTCATTATCAATTCTGTTGAACCCAAAACACATATAATAATTCATATTGAGACATGGTTATTGTGCTTTTACTAGCATGCTGTTAAGTTTGTTGATTTATATCATTGCTAACGTTCTGGTAATGTTGTGTGTAGGGTCACTGTCATTTAAGTTATGGCACTGTGCTGCAATCCTTCTGCAAGACGATGACGTTTCTGTAAAGAGCACAGCTGCGGATCTCATCTACCACCTACCAGCTTTGTCTTCTGCTAACCATGGTAATGACAGCTCAGAGTTATCTTTTTTTTTGTATAATTGGATTAATTAATTGTGTTAGTTCCATTTAAAGTCAATTTTTTCTTTAAATGGATACATGACTCTAGGGTCCTTGAATATATAATCGATTATGTAATCGATAAGTTGATAAGCAATTAAAATGGGTTTAAATTATGCTACATAAAAAATTTTATTGTTTAATATCCATTAAAAACATTTTTTAAATGTTTTTTTTTAAAACTAACAGCTGCAGTGTTGCTTACAACAACGGTGGCGCCACTACTAGCAACTACATTACTACTGCTGTATTATATAGCATCATATATATATATAGAATAAGTGTAACTTTCTAGAAAATCTATAGCACAACTATGAAACAGACAGCAGTGTTGTAGCAGATTTGCAGGCTTGCCTAAATGTGTATAGCATTAGTATGTATTTTTGCAGAGTTGTCACAGAGAGTGCAGCCACAGAAGGCACTAGACATGCTACTCGATGTCATGATATTACACTGGTCGGACAGAGACCTACCAGGTTGCATACACACACTCCTGCAGTGGCTCAATGCGGAACCAGAACAACAGCAGGTACATAAGTAATTTGAAGATATATTTGTGAGAAGTATATCATCTAAGCTCGTTTAAATAAAATATTTTGGTGGGTTTTTATATTCATATTTGATACCATTTCTAGTGCCCACGTTGGCATTTGTAATGTAATTCAGTTATTCTCTTAGATATTTTGTGTTTGTGGGTGACATGATCATATATAATTATTGTGTATGTACCTTAATTGTTTCTTCCTTTAGGATGACGAGGACCGTGTATTCGAGAGTAGCGATGTAAACATGTACATGGAGCATTTTACATTTATCGACCTCATTCTCAACAAGCTGGAGACTGTCATCACGTTGCCAGCATCTTCAATCATGTCTGACCACAGCACATCTAGTTCCACCGAGTCCTATCCAACAGACGCTGTTCACACCAGCATATCGTTTGCTTCTCCTGAAGGAGACTCGGTATCAACTAGTCCAGCAAGAGCGTCGACATTGTGTTCCTCTCACAGTGATGCATCCATTCATGTTGCGAAGACTTGTCTAAGACAGGTTTCCACAGAAGATATTTGTCTAGTCCTGGGAAAACTGCAGGAGCTCTCCCGGTTGCCTGCGTCTTCGTTCCTGCCCAGCATGCATGGGGGAGGCAACCCACGACTGCTGCCTCTATATAAATACAGCCGGGTACTGTTGCTGCTGATGAAGGCTGGGCTAGTTGAGGGTAGAAACAATTCTCAAGTTGTGGAGTGCTGTGGCAAACTGTTGACGGTTATAGCGGGGATACGTTTCCAGTGCTTTCTGTCGCTGCGCGTAGCAGAGACGCTGCACGATATCTTGCAACTGACTCGATGATAAGTTTTGCAGGGGCTGCAGTTACTCTGCATGTCTCGCACTGAATGTGAACGATTGAGAATGCACTCAAGATCGAGTTAAAAAGTCTTGATATGTGCAGACATTGCATATGCTGTGGTGCTATGTTGGGTATGTGCTGACATTATATAGACATGGATTGCTCCCATGCAAGAGAGTACTGATTATGGAAGCCTGGTAATCTAGAATATTAGTTCTTTCTTACCCATCATAGTATAGTGAATTTGCCTATCCTGATGCTTGGTTTGGCATCAAGTGATAGATTGCTAGTGAGTGGACTCTGCGTAGGCTTAGGAATAATGCTGTATATGTGTTGACACTATTAGCTGAATAATGATCTTGGATATCCTATAAATTTTTAAGATGATTGATGATGCGTTTGGTTATAATTTAATATTTAATTCCATGTGTTGCTTTGTGCAAGATATCAAAATATCAAGCTGTCTCCGGGAAAAATTATTGCAATATCAGAGTTATAACTAGAAATGGTTTCGAGATATATTTCTAGTATTTCTATTTGTAACAAAACTATAGAGAAAACAGCCGAACGTATGAATAAGTAAATTTCATAATCACTTGCCACTTCTATGCAGTAGAAGTGGTTATATGCTGCTACTGCTGCTTGAGCCGCATTTGGTATAGTAGGTCGTAACTAAGAAATTAATTAACTAGTCTTAATAGTCTTGCATTTAGTTTGTTGTTATAAATAACATCGTGTGTAAACAACTTGCCTAAGGTATGTCAAATTATGCATGATGTAGTCAGTTTTTATCAAATTATCAAGTTATTTCTCTAGATTTTCCTGTTATAGAAATGTCTTATGGGTGACCAATTAGGAAAATGTTTTGGAAACAATTCCAATATTAAATCCATAAAACATTAGGTCCATAAAATAATTATGAAAAGGATAATTGGTTTGTCAAAAGACTGGTATATTTGTGTGTTTAATAGTGTGCTCATGGTTTTTGGTTTATTCATTGGTTTTGAAGTGCATGGTTGTTATTGCCTGTGTCCAAGTATTTAATCGTCAAGCAAGAGAATGCCTTACTTTGACACACTTTCTAATATGAGCAATGTGTATGCGGAGGATGGATTGATACTTGAATGTATGATTGTATGATAAGTAAATAGTGTGGATTAGGTGCATATATAAAATGGATTGGTTTTGGTCTTATTCTAATGTGGACAAATTGTACAGTATTACTATAATTAGTAGAGGACCTGGCTAAGATATGTATGCACATAATTTAGGAGAGGATATCTCAATTGTTATAGGCTAATATGACCCCAAGGAACAACTTGGGA